TGACAATAGGCAAAAATGAAAATTTTATAATGACCACTCTTTCCTTTTACAATTGGAAATTACCAATACTAGGAAAGTAAAAGAGAAAGAAGGAGAAATATTTGAGATGTATGAAATAAGGGGGGAGGGGCTCCTTTTATAAGAAGGAGGAGAGCCCCCAATTGAAGTTCCCACGGATGTGGGACTTCTTCCTTCACAATCTCCCACTTGAAGATTTTGATGAAATTAATCAAATCTTCACACTATGTCTTCTTCTCTCACATCCATGTTGCTTATGCTTCCGATAGGCCATAGAGGGATCGACTCCATATAAACTTGTCAGCATTAACCGGTTTTGTCATTACATCTGCTAGGTTCTTTTCAGTGTGGATCTTCTGTAAGTCTACACTTCCTTCTTCTACTACTTCTCGAACAAAATGATATCTTATTCCTATGTGTTTTGTCCTCGAATGAAAGGCTGGATTCCTTGCAATGTGTAAGGCACTTTGACTATCACAGTACACAACAATTTGTTGTTGCTTGTGACCAAGTTCCCCCATTATTCTTTTAATCCAGATAGCTTCTTTACATGCTTGGGTGACAGCCATGTATTCAGCTTCCGTAGTAGACAGAGCTACCACATCTTGTAACTTGGATAACCAACTTACCGCCCCTCCATTGATGGTAAACACATAACCGATAGTAGACTTCCTTTTATCCGGATCACCTGCAAAATCCGAATCTACATAACCTCCGACAACCGCTTTTGATCCTCCATAACATAATGCAACATTTGAGGTTCCTTTTATATACCTAAGGACCCTCTTCACATTTTGTCAATGTTCTCCACCAGGATTCCCCATGAATCTACTAACCACTCCCACTGCTTGTGCAATGTCCGGTCTTGTACAAATCATGGCATACATAAGACTTCCCACTGCACGATGCATACGGTACTCGAGACATTTCGATCCTCTCCGCTTCACTGCTAGGACTCATACTTGAGGATAACTTACAGTTGACGGGAAGTGGGGTAGAAATTGGCTTGCAATCTTGCATGTTGAAGCGCCGCAAGATCTTAAGTAAATAATTCTTTTGAGAAAGCCAAATCTTCCTATCTTTTCTGTCTCGGTGAATTTGCATCCCTAAAATCTTGTTTGCTGGTCCCAAGTCCTTCATATCAAACTCCCTAGCCAATTGTGCCTTCAATTCTTGGATTCGAGCTTTGTTAGGGCCTACCACCAACATGTCATCCACATACAACAGACAATATGATGAAATCATTTTCTTCAAACCTATTGTGGTAAGTACAATGGTCCGAACTTAGTCCGTAGTATCCGAGGCTAATAATGAAGGAATCAAATCTCTTATACCAACACCTTGGCGCCGCTTTAGACCGTATAGAGATTTGTTCAACTCTGCAAACCAAGTTTTCTTGCTCTTTGAAGCCTTCTGGTTGGAGCATATATATTTCCTCTTCAAGTTCTCCATGAAGAAAAGCAGCTTTTACATCCAATTGCTCAAGATGTAAATCAAATGCAGCACACATCGCCAGGACAATTCGATTGTTGTCAATCTAACAACTGGTGAGAATATCTCGTTGAAATCAATGCCTTCTTTCTGAGCATATCCTTTTACCACCAGTCTAGCACGATATCTTTCTACTTGATCATTGACATCTCTCTTGATCTTATAGACCCATTTGCAACCAATGGCTCTGCGACCTTTTGGAAGTTCCACAAGATGCCATGTCTTGTTTTTATGAAGAGCTTCAATTTCTTCTTCCATAGCAGCCATCCATAGAGGAGCTTCGAACCACTCACGGCCTCTTGAAAAGTTGAAGGTTCTCCTTCTTCACTTAGGAGACAATACGCATCATGACTTGCCATCACATATTGTGAATGCCAAGATGGTCCGACTCTTTCTCTTGTTGATCGTCTGAGTTCTCCTTCTTCCACCTCATTTGGCTCATGTTCTTCATGCTCCTCCTCTAACTCGAGAGGAATGTTCCGAAGTCTTCTTCTCTATCTCGTACTATAGTCTTGTCCTTTTCCGAGCTGTCATTTATCCGCTTGCTTTGCAGTTCATTTTCTCGCAAAGATGACATCTCTGCTAACAATAACTTTGTGGGCAGTGGGATCCCACAAGCGATACCCCTTCACATTGTCAGCATATCCCAAGAAGATGCATTTCCTGGATTTTGGATCCAACTTCGTCCTTTCTTGGGTGTTGTACATCACGTACGCGGGACAACCAAACACATGTAAGGAAGAATAATCGGTTGATTTTCCACTCCACATTTCCATAGGAGTTTTCAACCCAATTCGTCGTTGATGGAGACCGATTTATCAAGTAACGAGCAGTATTCACGGCTTCGCCCGTAAAGACTTTGTTATGCCTCGCAGCTTGCAAGCATAGCTCCGGTTCTCTCTAGAAGAGTTCTATTCATCCGCTCTGCTACACCATTCTCGCTGAGGCGTGTGTGGAACGTAAAATTGTCTCACAATTCCTTCTTGCTTGCGTAATGCTAGAAAATCTCCATCTACATATTCTCCTCCATTGTCCGTCCTCAAACACTTGATTCTCCTTCCGGTCTCAAGTTCTACTTGTGCTTTGAAGTCTTTGAACCGCGCAAATACTTCGGACTTCTTCTTGATAGGGTATACCCATAATCTCCTCGAGTAGTCATCGATGAACGACACAAAATATTTTGCTCCTCCGAGAGATAATTCCGGTGATTCCCGGACATCGGAATGGATCAAGTCCAAAGTTTGCTTACTCCTTGTGGTGGTTCTTGCAAACTTCAACCTGTGTTGTTTGCTTGTCACACAATGCTCACGTAAGGGTAAATCGACCTTCTTGAGCCCAGGTATGAGATCACGTTCCGCAAGAATCTGCAGACCTCGCTCCGACATATGTCCAAGTCTACGGTGCCACGTTATCGCCACTTCTTCTTGGCTTGTCAACGCAGCTTGTTGCATGATTTTCTTGCAAGGTGTCTCCCATAAGCACATACAAGTTTGCCATGATTTTCTCTCGCTTTCATGACAACTATGTTTCCCCTCACTACCTTTAAGATTCCTCCTTCAACATGGATCTTGCAGCTGAGGTCATCCAATTGCCCTATAGACAATATATTTTTCTTCAAGTCCTTCACATGTCGTACTTCTTGGATTGTGCGAATAGTACCGTCATACATTTTTAATTTGACAAGTACCAACTCCAAGCAATCTCCAATGCATGGTCATTTCCCATGAACACGGATCCACCCGAGATAGGCTTGTAGGTTTGAAACCAATCTCGGTGTGGGGTCATATGCCAAGTTGCACCCGAATCCATTATCCACTTGTCATGAAATTCGTTTCCGCCATTAGAGCTGATTGTCGCTTCGCTACCGTAATTACTCCTTCCTCTGAAGTACTCGCAATGCAACCTTGTGAGGTTGATTCTTCATTCTTCCTCTTCCAACACTCTTTCTTCGTGTGCCCTTTCTTGCCACGAGTAGTAGCATTTAAATTTGAAAGTCTTCTTGTTTCGAGAGCTAGATCTCGCCATGATCTTGACTCCCACTTGAGCCACGTTCCGTCGATCTTCCTCTCATCATCGTCAAAACTTCGCTTGTTTAGAACTTTCTACCTTATTCATTCGCCCTGGATTCTTCTTCTAGAATAGCTCCGCAACATCGTCAAAGTGTAGTTGTCCTTCAATATTATTATTTGTAATGTTGATGATGAGTTGATTATACGAGTCCGGCAAGCTCGAAGTAAGAGCTCCGCACGCTCATTCTCAACTATGTTGAAATTTGTCGTCGCTAATTGGGCAAACAAGGTGTTCGGTTGGTTGATGTGGTCCGTCACCGATGTGGACTCACTCATCCGAAGAGTATAGAGTTTCCTCTTCAGGAATATCCTTGTATGAAGTGACTTCACCTCATATAATTTAATGAGGGCATCCCAAATCTCCTTTGCGGAATCTTTCTCCGCAACACCTGGATAGAACCGAGTCTCGTCATTGCCAAGTGTAAATTTGCAATAGCGTTGCCGTCAATTTTCTTCCAATCTTTATCCGTCATTTCTGCAGGTTTTCCCTCAATTGCTTCTGCGCAATTGTCCTTTCTCAAGATTGCCTTCATCTTCAATTTCCACAACGAGAAATTGTTCCCGTTGAACTTCTCTATCTCGTACTTTGCTGCCATGGTTGTATACAGACTTATGCAACTATCACTTATAAATAGTATTGTCTACCGGAACAATAGTAGTAAACCGTGAACCAGTACACCAAGTAGGTTCCCAGGAAAGAGAGGTGGGTCACTAATGGACACGCTTAAGTACCAAGTCTTTCCTAGCCAGAACTTTCCTCAATAGTACTTTCACACTACCACACCTTTTCCAGTAACAACTCCTTTCTAATGTGGAAGATCAGATTAAACTGCAACCACAGAGCATACTCAGAATTTTACCAACACTATTCTAGTGACGCGCAACGGAACTCGAACACAGCTCTGATACCACTGTTAGGATCAGAGTACCAGCATAAATACACACAACTAAAATAGAGATGAGAAAAATAACCCTGACAATAGGCAAAAATGAAAATTTTATAATGACCACTCTTTCCTTTTACAATTGGAAATTACCAATACTAGGAAAGTAAAAGAGAAAGAAGGAGAAATATTTGGGATGTATGAAATAAGGGGGGAGGGGCTCCTTTTATAAGAAGGAGGAGAGCCCCCAATTGAAGTTCCCACGGATGTGGGACTTCTTCCTTCACAGATACAAATACAAAAAATTAGCAAGAATTCAAGTAATTTCTACATAGAAACTATTCAGTTTGGGTGTACGAAAAGTGCATTTTTTTCCAATATAGATATTGCTTCGATGGCAATACAAGCAACCATTTCAGAGGACAAGCTGGAATTCACAAAAACACATTAGAACACCAACTGTAAGTGAAAATTAGCAAGAAAGAATACAATTTAATTCATATCTGATTTCACGTACTTAAGAGTGAGTGTGATTATCTCAAACATCCCACGGGCTAGATCCCAATATATCCATAACCTGCACAAATTATATTGTCAAGTCAAACAAACAAATTTTAACCAAGGCAATCTCAAACGAGAGAGATAATGAATCATAGTTCAAAATAATAGTTGTAATAATGAACAAACAGTCAAGAATAAGATTCAACAACATACCATGACATCATAGTCACCCTCCCTGCCTTTATAGTGTACTTGTGGCACACCGTGACTGCCACCGAGAGTGCTGTATAAATAATAGGAAACGAGGAAAATGATGAATGACATAGTCCAAAAGCAGAAGAAATAAAGGGAGATTTTAAAAGGAGACAGAATAGAACTCACTTGTACACTTGCCACTCTTAGGAAGGTCCATAGGTACATCCTTTACTAATTCTACGCTCAAGTTTTAACGCAATCTGATCAAATAATTCACAATGTGAAGATCTGAAATTTAAAACTTAAATGAAACATGAGAAATGAAACTTCACATTCAAAACTAAAAAGATACATATACCTCTACAGCTCCAGCTCCAGTTCTCTCATTCAAATTCCCAGTACAACGTCGTCCAAGATATACCTGATCAAATCCACCCTTGCCAAGTTTTCTTTCAACTTTATAACAAAGGAAATAACTTACTTGAATCTGTCAGCAGAGGGGAACAAAATTAAGATACAAGTATCAGCAGAACATGTTTACGCTTCATAGTTTCCACTATTCAATTAGGAAAACTGAACATTTATTCATATCCATGACAGCATGACTAAAGATAAATATGAGAAAACTAACGGGGAAAGAGAGGTAACAAAGTCATAGGACACTTGTAGAGACTGCTTTATGACTAAAGATTAATAATTTCTTTATATATAAAAAAAAAAAGTTCAAAAACTCAAACATAGATACAATATGAACAATACAAGTATATGCTTACTTTAACCACTTTCATCAAGGTATATTGTAAATGTGCAAAGTTTCAATCTCTCATTCCTCCTTACTAGTTCAGCCTGTCAAATATAACATACAATTGATGATACTAAAAGAAAAACACGCATAACCGCCTTCATCAAGGTATATTATAAATGTGTATTATATAGTTCAGAGCTCTAAATTTTCAGTCCTCCTTGCTAGCTCAACCTACCAAATATAACATTAAACTAATGATATTAGAAGAAAAACAGGAAACCAACTACTCCTCAAATTTTAGCTCAAATTATATATAGTACATCTAAAAATTTGAAATTCTAATGCAATAATCTAATTTTATCATTCAAATTAAAGAATAAACAATCATATTTATCTAAAACAGAGAAGTCTAACACATAAAGTATCTTAACTACAATCTTTGAATGCATAAAATAATGTCAAGATCTTTATTACAATCTTGGAATGCGTACAAAAGAACACAACTGTAAAGAAATGGCAAAATTGATACCTTTTTTGCATCTCTGTGCTAAGTGCTCTAATGGCTGGGTTAAAGACCAACAATCCCATTAACAAAGAATCTCTCCAGATGTTTCCATTTTCTTCTAGCAAACCTGAAATCCTTAGTTTTTTTTCCTGTGAGATAATAAAGTTAGAGACCAACATTCTGATCGTAACAATAAAACTTTAACATTATTTTAATATGCCCAACCAGAAATCCCCGCCAAGGAGAGCGACCTTGGAGAAGGAAAATCAATGGCTATGCAAGAGACTTCAAGTCATCCCTCTGTCATTTCAGATAATCCAACCAAATCAAGATAGAGGACAGTATATGTTCGTATATAGTTACCTGGAGGAGTAAAGGAATCCCAGGAAGACTATAAGGGCGTCTCGCAAGGGTGTGGATTTGGATTATCTCTCCGAACTCGATGCTGACGCCACCCATCAATGAAGTTCTCCAAGACTGGCATCGACGCGGATGCCTTTTCCCAAAGTGATTAAAACATAGCAATGAGAAGATTGTATTAAGAGACCAAGAAGTTGAACCAGATTATTGTTCTTGTGGCGGGAACGTGCCTTCAAAAATTAATTAAAATAAAAATTTATAAAAAATATATCTTACAAATTTCAATTTTAATTTTTTTATAATAAAATGCAAACTTATTATTAAATATTTAGTAATTTTAAAATACACTTTTAATTAATAAAATAATTAATAATAACTATATATAATTTAATAATTATAAATTAATTAAATGTTAACAATAATTTGTGTTTCTTTTTTTGACAGTGAATTAGCGGGAATTGAAGTGTTTTTATTAACATTAAATATTCCAAAAAATAATAATTTTTTTCATATAGTTTAGAAAAAAAAACATATTTATCTAAAGAAAAGAAAACTAACATATATCAGAGTTATTATAATTATATTTTATTTATAATCTATTTTCATTAGATTTTATAATGTTATATTTTTTAAATTTTATTAATTTTATTTATCATGTATTAGATTTTATTTTGATTAAAAAATTATATTTTAAAAGATTGATGATAATGAATAATTAATGTTTTATTATTATATATTAATTAAATAAAATAATTAATTAAATATATAATTATATATTTATATTTATATTATTATTATTTTAAAATAATTATTAAAAAATTATATATAAAAGTAAATATAAATATAATATTATAATATATAATAATAAAAATATTATAAGTATTTTATATTCATGTAAAAAATATTAAATACGTTTATGTATATATTTTAATATAAATATAATAAATTAAAGTATATATTTAATTAATAATAATTATAAAAAATAATTTATATAAAAAATAATATTGAAATTAATTTATTATAAATGTAAATTATAAATAATACAAATAGGTGACATAAAACTCACGCACCTGCGTGGTAGTCCCTCAAACAAAATTATCTAAAAGAAAAAATGCTTAAGAAAACAGTTGATCAGTATGAAACTAAAATTTGAATAATTAGATCAATCTTTATATTTTTCATAAATATCACTTCTTTTATTCTGCTCAATTTTACTTATAAGTTGTTTTATAAAATTACTGAAACAATGAAATTATCAATTTCTAAAACAAAGGATGGAAGAAAATTGCATTTTTAAGTTTGAATCAATAATTTTTTTTTTTTTCCTCAAATGAATTTTACCAGGCGAATTCTACTCTGGTTTCCAAAGTTAACCTTTCAAATTCAATTATAAATTTGACAGAAATTGGTTAACCTTTCAAATCAAATAATCATGTTTGAGATCATCTTACTATTACCTTCATATGGAAAGCTAGTTAAAATTTATAATTTTCATGAACAATTTTTAAATATTTTCCTATCTCGTGAACTTAATTGTCTCCATATTTTAGATTATGATCTACATGTATTTATTTCAGAGGCTAAAAAGAAATATTTGAATCTCATTGATCTCATCAATATTATACAATATTACGAGACATTTAAGTCATCCAAGTAAAACAATCTATTCTTTAGTAAGAGAAATAAAAAAATGAATGGTGATTGGATTGATGATAAAATAGAATCCTAGGTCTCGAACACTGATTCGATTGATGATAAAGAAAGAAAATTTTTGGTTCAATTTTCTATCTTAACAACGAAAAAAAGATTGATCAAATTCTATTGAGTCTGGCTCATAATGATTTTTATCAAATAATAAATCTGGTTATCAATCATTGGCACAACCTATTTGATAAGATAATAATTATTTTTTAAATAAAAATAATATATATATATATATATATTATAATTAATTTAATATAGAATTAACTTGTTTTAAGAGAATAAATTTATAAGAGCAACTTATTTTAAGTTTTAATAATTAAGATTAATTATTATTTTTAATTAATAAAATAAAAATAATGAAAAAAAAAATTTAACTCTTATTTTAATATTGAATCAATCTATATATTTTTTATTTAAATATTCTTTTAATTTGTTATTTTAATATAAACACAATAATTCTTTTAAAAAAATTAATTAAACTAAATTTGGCCTGATGATGATTTAACCTATTATTAGATTAAACTAAAATTTATTTCTTTTAAAATATAAATCAAGAAAAATCATCCATTTTTTTTACTTAATTAATTTCTAAGGTTAAATAAGACGCACCATATTATCATTTATGATTATACAAGACCTAAAAAGCTTAACTGTGGCATAAATAATAAAGTCTGTGAGTAAGAATAAATTCTGATGTAAAATATTTTCATATAATCATTTTATGATTAAAAATAAACATAAAATAAAGTTTAGTCTACCTCCCTCTCTCTCTCCCTCTCTCTCTCTCTCTCTCTCTCTATATATATATATATATATATATATATATATATATCTTTAAATTTAATTACTATATTTTTTTTTCTGATTTCTAAATATATAATATTTTGTTGAGGAATTTTTATTTACAAATATAAGTTATTTTAAAAAGTTTAAAATTATTTATATATATATATATATATATTATTTTTTTGAATTATATTTAAATTATTAAGAATGATTTTGAATGAAGAAAATCTTAAAATAATAAAGATATTAAAAAAATAATAAATTTATTAAAAATAATAAAAATTAATGTTTATATAAAATAATATAATCTTAAAATGTGGTATATTTTAAAATAGTAAAAATGTTATTTTACATTGTAATAATTTTCTAATATATAACTATTTGTATTAACTATATTTTAAGAATTTGTTTTTACATTTAAAAATTTTAAACTTATATCTATTTTTATTAGATTATTAATTTAATTATATTTTAAAAGATGATTATTTTCTATTAAATTTTAATAAAAGAAGATATAAGATAAATATTTATATATTTATATTTATGAATTTTATAAGTTTATTTTATTTTCAAATAAGAAATAATTATTAAAATTGCCAAGTATTTTTTATTAAAAAATAGTTAATTATTTTTATGTTAATATTTCTATCTAGGTTGATATTTTTAAATATGAACAAGAGATAAAAATTACAAAGTGAGATGATATATGAAATCAACTTTACCATCGTATCACATTTATTTTATATTATAAAGATTTGAAGGAATTTTTATGAATAGTCAGAATAACTAAACAAAAAATTAATTATTCTTTAAGTAATATTTATTTATTTCAATTTTTAATATCAAATCCTTATCTATAATGTCATCAAATACAAAACTGGGATAAATATACAAAAAGATCAGTACGTAATTATAAAAAATAACAAAAATAAAAATAGTAGTACCTTGAAGATAAATAATTAAATATTAAATAAATAAATATAAAATAAAATGAGGTAAATAAATATAAAAATAATAATAATAAATATAAGATAAAATCAAGACATAATTAAATATAAATAAATAATTATAAAAGATAACTACTGTATAATTTAAAATAAATACATAGAATCCGCACATAAATAAAGTTAAATAAAATAAATTAGTGGATATTCGAAAATAAATAAATAAATAAATAAAAATAAGATAAAATAAATATAATATAATAAATATAAAAAAATAAAAAATAACTCAACAATTATAATTAAAAATAAAATAATTAAAATAATAAATGTGTGTAGGTCTACCTTAATAATTGTTTATCATATTACAAAATTTTTTTAAAATTACTTTATTTATATATATATATATTCCTCTTCTTCTCTTTCTCTCTTTTTCCTTTTTCTCTCAATTCTTTCTTCATCTAAAATAAATCATTAATTCTATGTTTGTTAATTAGATACAAGTAAAAACAAAATATAATATTACTCTAACTGTTTGTTGAATTATTGAGAAGTTTACCAAAATTATCAATCACAGTATAATATTTCAATTAAATAAAAGTCGATTTTACGAGGAATGATTTTAATAGAAAATTTAAATTATATGCTTATTAAGTGAATTAAAACAAGATGCATAAAGAGTTGAACTAAAATTAAATGACAAAAAACTGTAAATTGTTTAGAAAAGATTAATTAAAAGCACTTAGGATTGACTTCTTTCCTTTTTCCTCTTTTGTAATGACTATGTCCAATTAAGATCATCAATTAACCTAACAATGTTGATGTCACCTACTCAAATCATCCATGTTGATTTCTCACACATGAAATTCATAAGAAAACCTAATAAATGTTGATTTCGCACACAATTAAGAGATTTTTCAGCATTAGGGTTAGGGTGTTAAGCAATTGATACATTCATTCTATTCTTGATAATTAGCATAACAAATATTCTTACCGTGATCTAGGGTTCAAGATATATTTTTCAATCATATCCCAAACATCAAGAATAAATCATTCCAAGGTACAGAAGATAAGAATAACAACATCAAAACATAGATTAATTTCTCAAAATATCATCAAGATATAAAAGAGTTCAAAGGAAATGCACCCAATCCCAAGAGAATGAAGTTAACCACTCATGGTGACCATCATAATGCTTCAAATGAGGAAAAAGTGAAGAATTGATGTAGATTTAACAAAACCCTAGCAGTAGTCGTGCCTCTTCTCTCCAAAAACGTCTCCCTCTTCTCAAAACTCGTCTTATATTTTTATAGGAGAAATTGGGTTTTTGGGTTTCGCGTCTTTCACTCAAGCAATAACACTCGCTCAAGCGAAAGTTCCCTATTTTTGCTTAAGCGACAAAATGTTCGCTTAAGCGAGTGAGTTCCAGAGAAAAATAACTAATTTTCGCTCAAGCAAAATTATTGGCACTTAAGCGACTGACTTTCAGAGAGTTTTAACTGATTTTCGCTCAAGCGAGAGTCTATCTTGTTCGAGCGACTTCCATGCTGAAAATCTTCTTCCTCTTTTCAGTTTTTGCTTCAATTATGTTGACAATTATGCTCATTGCTCTTGTATCAAGGTATTCTCGAATTCATCCTACATTGGGTGAAAAATAGATTAGAATTG